TCCTGAAACAAATATTGTCACCCTGCCTGCTTGTGTGAAGTGTTCTGGGTGCTGAAAGGTGTGGGTCTCAGAACTTACAAAAGCAGCAGATACCCTCCTACAAGGCTATAGAAACGCGCATTCTGTCAGCGGTGAAACTTGTCTTCATAGAGTTTCAGATCTGGCAATATGGTAGTAGCGTCATGCATTTTGCTGTTGTTTTAATTTTCCTTTTGTGCAGCTGTCAGTGAGAAATAGCCTGGCATTTTGCTTTGGATGCTTTAATTTTCTCCTGTGAGGAAGATATTTAGAAGCATCTGTGTGTCTCTTCCTTGGCACAGAACTTTCTTCCAGGGTCATTGCTGCTCTGAGTGATGGGGAAGTTGCAAGTGTCCTTTACTGTTGTTTGTTAGTTCATTTTCTGAGTTAATACTTGGTATTTTTCTACACTGCACTCGAGGACTGAGTAATAAAATATTCAGGTTTCAATTCCATGTTTACATTTTTGCTGAGAGAGTTCTTCTTAACCCCAGGACCACATAACTACTTTTCCAAAAATTATGTTGCCTTTTGGTTTTAATATTTAAATATTTACTTCATATCAAATTTGCTGTTATAAACTGAGTTAGAGGACTAATTTTGTTTGGGTGGAAAATTGCTTAAGTGTCATTTCATAAATGATCTGCTTATCCACAGGACTACCAAATGCCATTATTCACACGCAAAGGTAGTATATGTAATCCTCAGGGATCACTCTGACAGAATAGTTGTTCAGGCAATTCATATTCTTGCTATATTCTTGAAGTATATTTAATATGTAATATTTAGTCATTTTAGGTTATTCCTTCATATTAACTGTTTATCATTTCATCAACTTCTAATATAAAAAGATTGCATTAAAATGGCATGAAACAAATATGTTTGTATGGAACTTGACCTTATGATAATTGATAATTTTATGATTTTCCCCATATTTTATAGATTAGAAAGTGTTTATATTTTCCTTAGGGTTTTTTTTTTTGTTTTTTTTTTTTTTTTGCTTAAACTCATTAACTTTTCATTTTTTGAAAATTTTGTACAATGTGTTTCGGTCACATTTTTTTCTCTATGAAATGCCTAAATATTTAATTATTTTTTCACTAACAGATACCACAATATCAAGAGCAGAGTCATTCCCAGCAAAGAATGTGGAGAGCACAGTTATTCCTTCCAATGTAATTACTACAGGACCCCTAAATGATTAAAAAAAAATGCTCTACACATTTGTGGAATAAAAGCATTGTAAGATCACTGACAACTTAATTATTTCTTTTTATGTTCACAACAATGCTATGAGGTTATTTAGGCCCCGTCTCCCAACTGTGCCTTAAAACCGATCAAGATAAATTTGGGCTTCCCAGGTCTGCAGCCTTCCACCAGACTGTGGTCTGCTTCCCATAGGTAGACCCCAAGAGAGAAGGAGCTCTCTTGGCACTTAAAACCTCCTAACAGCTTCTCAGCGAGGGGTGGGATTTGGTTCCCACTTCTCTCCGTGCTGAGATTTGGGTTGGCTTGGACTCCTATGGGGTGTGTGCGCACCGACACAGCCACCTGGAGTTCATGTGTGCAGCTATATAGACTGTTTCCTGTATTCATACACCACCTGTGACCCCTCAGTTTTTCTACCTCCTCTTCCTCAATGATCTCTGAACTTTGGGAGTGTGGCAGGGGAGAGGAGATGGGATATATAGTCTCGTTTAAGGCTGGGCATTTTGCTGTGTGTGGTTTTCTGTGCAGAGGCCAGTTGTTGGCCACCTTCTACCGCCATCAGTTTTCCCCCATTTTTGGATCTTATTCCAGGGAATGCGGTTTTACTTTTTTACTGGGTTTTAATTTTCTTTAACTCATTCATCATTGTTAAATATTTTGTCATTAGTAATTTCCATTCCAAAAACTCTCTGGATAGTATGTTCTGTTGTATGTATTGTTCATTTAGAGAAATGCATTGGCTTTTTCTATAAGAACATTGCATGAAAGGCAGATTTGCCTCATTCCCTTCTTATTATGTAGTTTTGACATGCTCAGGTTGTAGGGAGCAGTGCACGCTGCATACAGATTCAGTCAGCACATTAAGCAAGCTCCGCATTCACGATTTCCTTGTAGTGAGAATACTCAAAATTCCCCCTTCTTTCCTCACTTTTTCCACAATGCTAGTGATTTAAATGCACTGTTGTTTTTTTTATACATTGGATTTTAGCAGGCATATCTAAGCCAGTGTCATTTTTTTTTAAAATCACATCAGAGGTCTTGTCAATCCTCTATAAACTAGGAACCATCTTTGCTGTCTGCTTCATTTAACTCTTGATTTCTCTGTTTCTTTTACTTAGTGAGACATTTTATTTTATGAAGAAAACTGGCATTCGTATTTGTAGCTTTGAACATATGTGTCTCTAATAACCATAAGGATAGAACATTCTCTCAGTAGTGATAACTGCATTGTTTCTGAAACTCCAATTTTTTAGTTTCTTCTCTAAATGACACCTCTTTTATCAGTGCATTGCTATAAAAACCATCTGTTGAGTCATCTGATTTCAATTCAGTAGGACTTAAGGCACTCATTGCTGTTTGGGAATTTAATACTTGTGTATAATGTGTTTTGATGAAATCCATATCCACTCCCTCCCCTCTAACTACTCCTACCTGTATCATGTGTTCTGTTGTAAACCCATTGAGTACTGCCCATATGTAAATAATTCAACTTAGGAAATGATAGATAAAAAAATAAAATACATATATGAACTAGGAGGCGATATATGATATTTTAATTTTCTAGCTTCTAAATGGCATATGTAGTTCCTTCAAATTATGACTATTGGTCAAAAATCAGTTTTGATGGTGTTATTATTTTTATACCACATTTCTTATATGCTGATCCCTAGTTCACAATCAGTTTAAACTATCTTTCGTTATATCCATTGTGGACATCAGCGGAGAAGTGAATGTATGGGTGTATGCATGCATATATTACATATACTCAAATGCTTTACCCTACCCCGCCTATTATAACTGTTCCTAGACCAAGGTTTCATTGTATGTCAGATCAAACCAGGCTGGCCTTGAGCTCCCAGAGATCCACCTGCCTCTGCCTCCCTGAGTGCCGGAATTATAGATGTGCACCATCACTCCCCGCTAAAAAATATATATTCTAATAACAGATGTTTCTAAATTTGGATATAGAATCACACTATCGATTTTTAAAATTCTGTGTGTCCGTGAAGTGCATGGATGACTTCTGAGAACAGTTGACCTCTGAGGGAATAGAGTCTCCGAGTGTGCAGATAACTCCAGGACTGCCGTATGACGTTAAAACAACTCCATTAGGAAATTCGCTATCTTTACAGTAAGACTTAGGGAAACATTCAGACTCCGCATGAGTGTTGGCCTGCAGGTATGTATGTGTACCATGTGTGTTTCATGCTCACAGATGCCAGGAAAAGGCATTGGATCTCCTGGAACTGGAGTTACAGATGGTTGCGAGCTATCACATGAGTTCTGGGAACTGAGTCCAGGTCCTCTGCAGGGTCAGCCAGTGCTCTAACCACTGGGAAATCTCTCTAACCCTAGGATCTTGGATTTTAAACTTTTTTGTTTATTTCTTGATTATCAAGCTACTATCTGTGGAAAAGAAAAGATTATCTGTTTGAGAAATAAGTTAGGAGTAAGGATGGCTTTTCAGCTAGTCCATGGCCACCTACTTTAAGATTTAGGAAAAAGTCACAATTTATTTTCCATACTGGTCGTAGTCCCCTCCCTTTTTTCTTCCTGGTTCCATCCTTCCTCCCTATTTCCTCACTTATCCCCTCCCCTACTCCTCAGAAAAGAGGATCCTAACCCCACCCACCCACCCCAGCATATTAAGTCTCATCAGGACTGAGTGCATCCTCTTCCCCTGTGGCCCGGCAAGGCTGTTCCGCTAGAGGAAAGTAATCAAAAAGCAGAAAGCAGAGTCCATGTCAGAGTCAACCCCGGTTTCCCTTACTAGGAAGCCCATAGGACCAAGCTACCCAACGGCAACATCTGGGCCCAGGTCCAGTCCATGCATGGTCTTTGATTGGTGCTTCAGGCTCCACAGGCCCATGGGCCCTGGTAAGTTGGCTCTGTTGGTCTTCTTGTGGAGCTCCTGTCCCCTCTGGGCTCTTCTATCCCCTCCTCCACTCTTCTTTAAGACTCCGTGTGCTCCATACAATGTTTGGTTGTGGGTCTCTGCCTCTGTTTCCATCAACTGCTGGGTGGAGCCACTCAGAGGACAGCTATGCTAGGCTCCCATCTGCAAACATCTCAGAGTATCATTAATAATGTCAGGGGTTGGCTGTCTTCTATGGGGTGATTCTTAGGTTGGTCCAGTCATTGGTTGGACATTCCCTCAATCTCTGCTTTACTTTTGTCCCTGCCCATCTTGTAGGCAGGGTAAATTTTGGGTCAAAGTTTGTGTGGCTGAGTCGGTGTTCTCCTCTCCACTAGGAGTCATGCCTACTTGGAGGGTGTCCTCTTCAGTCTCCATGACCCCTGTTACTAGGAGTCTCAGTTAGAATCAGCCTCATATCCTCCCAGGAACCTACCCTGCCATAGGTCTCTAGCTTGTTACAGAGAAGTCCCCGCCCCAGGCTTCTCTTCTCTCTGCAGGCCCTCTGTCTCCCCGACCCTGCTTTTCCCAGATCTGAAATCAACCCTCATATCTCTCCATGCTCCCTCTCTTACCCGGTCCCCTCTCTTTAACCACTTCTGTTGTCCATTCTCTTTCCACTTGGAAGTGGGAATTAGGCATCCTCTATTGGGTCCTGCAAAGGGGAAATTTTATTATATTGGATTAATTTTTTTTCGAAAAATTTTGTCATTTTTTAGGGGGAAAAAAGTCTGTTCTGCAAGGGAACATGACAAATGATTTATGATCCTTGCTCAGCACGGCTGCCCTGTTCTGTTTGAAATTCAGAAGCTTCAAGAAGTGAACGTGCACCCACACGGCTGCTCTGCTCTCTCCCCAGGTGCCTCCCATTCTCCTTGATAAGCAGTTCTCCGAATTCACTCCAGACATCACACCTATCATCTTGGCTGCACATACAAACAATTATGAGATAATCAAACTTTTGGTCCAGAAAGGTGTCTCGGTGCCAAGACCCCACGAGGTCCGCTGTAACTGTGTTGAGTGTGTCTCCAGCTCGGACGTGGACAGCCTCAGGCACTCACGGTCCAGGCTCAACATCTACAAGGCTTTGGCCAGCCCCTCGCTCATCGCCCTGTCAAGTGAAGATCCTTTCCTCACGGCCTTTCAGTTAAGCTGGGAGCTGCAGGAACTAAGCAAGGTGGAGAATGAGTTCAAGTCGGAGTATGAGGAACTGTCTAGACAGTGCAAACAATTTGCTAAGGACCTCCTAGATCAGACAAGGAGTTCCAGAGAGCTGGAAATCATTCTTAATTACCGTGATGACAATAGTCTGATCGAAGAACAGAGTGGAAATGATCTTGCGAGGCTAAAATTAGCCATTAAGTACCGTCAAAAAGAGGTGAGTGCTGCCAAATGCAATCCATCAATGAGATAGAATCACATCACTGACAAACCAGCGCTACTTAGGATTAGTGTTACATTTAATAGCACTTTTATTCTCTTGTAAGTTGGTGGCATTTAACGCTGGCCGGATTCATAATTATCTCCACACTGAAGAATAGTGATAAGTGGTTCAATAATGGGAAGTTACTTTTGGCATTTGTGTTTAAGCACCTACACTCACTTGTAATAAAATGGAAAGCTATCAAATTGAAGATTCCCCAGACCAGGTGGAGGATTTTGATCTACTTGCTTATAACTCATGTCAGTCTAGGCCCTAATGGGTCACACAGCACTTGTTTGGTTTTCTCATTTACTGAATAAAACTGATTTTATAATGTCCACAAACATACATATGAAAATGTTTTCCTTACAAATTCATAGGAAGAGTAACGCGTGCCAGTGGGTATAAGGACTACTAATTAATTATAAGCTATTATGCTTGAATGTGTAATTAGGAATTAATACAAGAAGAGTCTTCTTCAACAGTAATGAATCTATTGGAGCCTTCTTATGTTTGTTCACCTTCTTGATCTGTCAGGAATAGGAGGCTAAACAGTTAGTTGTGGAAAATAGCTTTCCAATGAAATTTTGGGAGATTTTGATGTTTTCAGTGAAGGAACCTAAACCACCCACATCTGGACCTACACCACCCACATTGGACCTACACCACCCACATCTTTACCTAGCCATCTGTACCTAGGCCACTTACATCTGTATCAGTTGAAATTTCTGTTTGTTTTCAAGAGATTGTGGGGGTTATTTTGGTCATTGATTTTTTTTTAATCTACATAAAATACTGGTTCTCTTTCACTCTTGAAATAAAATAATTGCCTCTTCCCAAACAACATGGAGGAAAACTACGTAGTATGGAAATGATGGGTGTAGGAAAAGAGGCTATTAAATTTTTTAATTAAGATTTCTTTTTATTTTATGTATATGACTGTTTGCCTGAATTTATATGCACCACATGCCTGCAGTGCCTTGGAGAAGCCAGAAGGGGCAGTCAGAGCCTCAGAGCTGGAGTTACAGGTGGTTGTGAGTGGCCATGTGGGTGCTCAGGACTAGGACTCTACGAGAGGAGCCAGTGCTCTTAACTGCTGGGCCATCTCTCTAGCCATGAGATGACTCCGTTTTAAAATGTCCAGCTGTTTTTTTTACTGGGCATTGTCGGTTCTGAATCAGTCTTGCTGCTTTTCTACTGCTATTTACTAAAGTTTCCAGATTCAGATACCTGAACTCGCTTTGTTTGGTTTTCCCTGTTGTCTGGTTCTCATGGCCCCTGAGACTACCTGAAGTCTCCCCCGAGAGGGATGGGAGCAATGGTTCTCTGCATCTTCTTTGACCCTAAAGCCACTGACTTTGGGCTGACTTGGACCTCAGGGTTCTTATGTTTGAGAATCAAAGAGCCATTGTATAAAAGAAACTAAAACAAGTTTAATGTGCAGTAGATGAATGAAGTGATTGGAAAATGTACATGATCTAGAAAGTTCTAAATGCCAGAGTGACTTATTGTGCACAGTGTAGCTTATGGCCTCATGGGACTCCGATTTCGGGTCAGGTTTAGAAGCTCTCTTGTTAGCACAGCATCATGGTTGCCTTTCTTTGGTCTCCTCAGGGTTGGGATATTTGAAAGACTAGCTAATGATTGTCAAAGTCACCGTACAGTCTTGATTTTTCCCTTTATACTACAATTGTAATAAAATCACCCATTCAAAGCACAAAATAAAAACCAAAGAGCCAATCTGCTTGGCTCTTCTTAGCAGCCACAAATCAACGCAGCTCTACCTGTTTGTTTGCCGATTGCTTTCCACACTGATCTTGGTCCTTCTGTTTCAACCTTGCCTTCAGCCACAGGTGGCTTTTTGAAAGCCCAGCAATAAACTTTTGATAAATTCCTTTATGGTATCCTCATGACAATATGTCTTTAGTGAGATTTAATCTTTCAAGCTAGTGAATTTTTGTTCAAAAAAAATGTCTAAGACAAGTATTTTGATGTGAACTTATTACATACATTCTTTTACACCTGTGTATGCTTGTCCATGCTGGCTTACAAAACAGTCCCATGCAGTTTAATCTAGCCTTCATTTCTCCATCATCAAACTTTCCCATATGTTTCACATAACAAATTCCAGGCAGAGCTCAGGGCGCTTGTCCCTGCCTGATGACATAGCAAGGCCCTTCCGTAGCCTTATAGTCAATTAGGAGAGACAGTAAACAAATTGAATCATCAAACCAGTTTGTCCCTCCTTAATACCTGTTTCTTTACCTCAGTTCTTTGTACACTTCATGATCTTACAAACTGAGCTCACCTTCAAAGTCTGGGGAATTAAAGTCACAATTTAAATCCCTTGTTTGACATGTCAACATTCAGGACACAATGGAAAGTAGCTGATCATTCCCAACACCCTTTTAAGATGCCTGTTAAGATACTGGTAATACGCAGCTGTGCTCTTGGAGGTAATAGGACCCGCAGAAACACCAAGATGAAAGACGGACCACACAGAACCTGTATAAAGAAAGTAAAAATTAGTAATGGCCTTTTAGAGGAATGTTTCTTAAAAACATCAATTTGCTTTTTTCTCCTGTCATCTTTAGAGATTTCGGTGGAGAAAAAAAATGACAATAATTTCTTATATGGTTGTTGATGAAATTCTTTATTCAGTATCAAAGAGCAAATTTTTTTTCTGGGGCTGACAGTTTTCGCGAGGCAAAGTGACATTGTTTGACTGATAGCAGTATAAAAATATCTGTAATAAAATTTTACTCTTGTGTATACCCTTTAAAATCAGAAATTGGGTTTTATGAAACATATTTCTAGATCATCCAGAAAGTCTTGACCTCAAAAATATTTGATTCTAAAATTTTGAGTAAGACCACATATCTTATATAAAACTCTGCTTTTAGTGGAACTCATTGCCTTTTATGTTTTTATTATAGATTTCCTTTGGTTTAGTCTAAAGAAATTTGAGGTTTGCCTCAGGCCTATGTCTCATGCCTTCCCATTAGTCTTCAGGATAACTAAGTCCTTACTTATTCTTGAATGCTCACCTCACAGACAACTTCCCCTGAGATGCATTTCTGTTTGGGATAAAGATCCTAACTATAGATGAAGTAATGGGTTTTGTCTTAGGATAGACATTATAGAGAACATTAACACAAACTATCATTGTAAAGCTTTTCAGGGATCTGATGTGTTGGTGGTAGTATAAGGAATACATTACTGTAAAAATTAATTGTATTTGCTTCCCTGAGAACTTCCTCATTGTACACATCCTAAACCATGCTTCTATGTCTGCACTTCTGATACTATGGCTGTGTTAGGGCTGTGCCCACCTTGCCCACCAGTTTTACCATGTGAGTAGCTGCTCAGTAATGTATACATTTTAGTCAAGTGGAGAACCCCTCCTTATGAACAGTTCTATGCGTGTTTTGTATGTTCGGTTTTCTCTATTAGATGGCACTGTGTACAGTAATCTCAGAAATAGTCACCCTATGAAGTCATGCATTGTCTTGGTTTACTCACCGTTACTCTGATAAAACACTGAGAAAAGCAGCATGGCGGGGGGGAAAAAGGGTGGTTTTTTTTAAATTTTATTTTTCTTATTAGTTACATTTTGTTAACTCTGTATCCCAGATGTATCCCACTCCTTCATTCCCTCCCCAATCCCACACTCCCTCCCTGGTCTCCTCCCTGCCTCTTTCCAAGTCCACTGATAGGGGAGGACCTCCTCCCCTTTCATTTGACCCTGTTTTATCAGGTATCTTCAGGGCTGGCTGCAAAGTCCTCCTCTGTGGCCTAACAGGACTGCTCCTCCCCTGGGGGGGGTGGTCAAAGAGCCTGCCCTTGAGATCCTGTTAGAAATAGTCCGTGTTCCCCTTACTTTGAAAAACTACTTGGTTACTGAGCTACCACGGGCCACATCCGAGCAGAAGTTCTAGGTTATATCCATAGATGGTCCTTGGTTGAGTGTCAGTCTCAGAAAAGACCCTGTGCCCGGATATATTTGGTACTTGTAGAGCTCCTATCCTTTCCATATCATACTAACTCCTCTTCTTTCATATGATTCCCTGCACTCTGCCATGGTTTGGTTATGAGTCTTAGTGTCTGCTTTGAAACACTGCTAGGTAGAGTCTTTCAGATGCCTTTTGTGGTAGACTCCTGTCATACATTCAATGCACATCCCATTTGTCTTTCTAAATGAGGATTGATCATCTTTGCCTGTGTCCACTTTCTTGATTATCTTCTTTAGGTGTGTAGATTTCATTATGTTTATCATATCTTGTAGGTCTATATAAGCGAGTATATACCATGTTTGTCTTTCTCCTTCTGGGATACTTTACTCAGAATGATCTTTTCTAGATCCCACCACTTGCCTGCAAATTTCATGATTTCCTCCTTTTTGATTGCTGAGTAGTCTTCCATTGTGTAAAAATACCACAATTTCTGTATCCATTCCTCCGTTGATGGACATCTGGGTTGTTTCCAAGTTCTGGCTATTACAAATAAAGCTGCTACAAACATGGTTGAACAAATGTCCTTGTTGTGTACTTGAGCAAATTTTGGGTATATACCTAGGAGTGGTATAGCTGGGTCTTGAGGTAGCACTACTCCTAATTGTCTGAGAAAGCGCCAGATTGATTTCCAAAGTGGTTGTACCAGTTTACACTGCTAGGTAGATTCTTTCAGATGTCTTCTTCGGTAGATTCCTGTCATACATTCATTGAATGCACATCCCATTTGTCTTTCTAAATGAGGATTGATCATCTTACCCCATGTCTGCTTTCTTGATTATTTTCTTTAGGTGTATAGATTTCATTATGTTTATCATATCTTGCTTCACACTCAAGGCAGGAGCTGGAGGCTAGAGCTGAAATAGATACTATGGAGGAATGCTGTTTACTGGCTTGATGCCCCTGGCTTACTCAGCTTGTTTTCTGCCTCTGTGCTTCTGTTTT